AAATTTCTGTAACTGTGAAAACAATTTTTACAATTTATTAATTTGTACAATTTTTACTACCATATGCATGTGTCATGAACTGAGATGAACTAATTTTATCAGCAGTGTTTGATTTAAAAAAGTTAAATAAAAATGTTATAAGCTGTAACGTGTAATGTTGTAATTTGCAAATATTAATTTGCAGCATGAAATCTGGAAGAAAAAAACTATTTTTATCCTTTAAATGTTTATTTTCATCAACATTTTATTTTAAAGAATGTACAAACTAAAGTAAGGTGTAGTGTGAAGTATTTGCATTAACTTGTGGTTTATGGTTAAATAAAGGAAATCTTATGAAAATGAAAATTTTAGATAGTGTACAAAAATACACTTGCAGATGTTAGATATATAACATCTTATAATATAAAATGTTATATTTGTAGCTTACAGTTAAAGAAAGGAAATATTTACTGTCATTATTATTATTGCCTCCGATTCAAATATTCTGATGCAGAGAAATTAATTAAAAAACAGAGCAGATGTAAAATGTTTATTTTTTTATTTTATTTTATTTATTTATTTATTTATTTATTTATTGTATTTTTAGGTGTTTTGGGCTGTTGTGCAAAATGGAAATTAAATAAACTGAAGATTATTAAAGAAAGTGGAGCCACCTCCCCACAATGGCTGGCACTCGAACTTCTGTGCGCTTTCCGCAGCTCTTGGTTGTCTGGATTGGTAAGTGCCACTAATTCTTAAAAAAATTGAGGTTTTAAATGTTTTTTTTTTTGTTATTTACTTTTTTTTTGTTAATTTTTAATCTCCATTCAGCATGTACTTCAGCGCTTGCCACAACAATCGTAAGTCTGTTTCATTATTTCAATAACATATAGGGCGGCTGTGGCTGAGTGGTTAGAGCAGTCATCCTCCAATGCAAGAGTTGGGGGCTCGAACCCCACAGCAGTCACATGCCGAAGTGTCCCTGGGCAAGACACTGAACCCCTCATTGCCTCTGATGTGTGTCCCATCAGTGTATGAATGTGATAAAGCACTGATTAGTCTCTTTAGAATGATTTGTTTAATTAGCTTTGTAGAGATCTAGTAGAGTGCTGTATGAACGGGTAAATGAGGACACAGATTGTAATGTAAAGCACTTTGAGTATGTCAATAAAGATAGAAAGGTGCTATATAAGTACAGTCCATTTACCATTTATAAAAAAAAAGCCTAAATTAACATTCTGTCATAAAAAAAAAAAAACTTTTTTTTTTGCAGTCCAACACGACCCAAGGTATGAAACAATTCTTTAATAAACAAGTGTTAAAGTTTTATAAGAAATAAAACAGTTAGTTAATGCATTTTATTAAAAAGGGGAGAAATATAATATTGTATTTGTTTTATCTTTTAATACCTTATTATTGCAGATCCAGGCTTTTTGACAACTGAAAACAGGTCAGCATCTTTTTTTTTTTGTTTTCAAAATTGTCTGGAAAATTTTATTCAACAAATTTATGCTTAAGTGTTAAATTTGATATATTCAAAACAATATTAAATGAAAATAAATATACATACTTTTTAAAAGTACTGTTTTCACTTCAAGGACCGGCTTCCAGGAATCATGCCAAGGTGTAAACCTACAAGACCCCAGTCGCAATGTAAGTTTGACAAATCATAAGAGTCAAAATTATGATTCGCATGATTGAATAATCTTTAAAAAAGGTGGATAAATTAAGTAGTCTAAAATATTACTACCATAATTAATAAAGTTGATTTGTTGCCCCCTTTTAACAAGAGCTTAAAACTGTGGCAAAACAAATGTCATTGTACTGCTGTCCTCTTGCTACACCCTGAAAGGATACTCTGCAATAGACAGTCGGCATTAAGCAGTGTTAATGGATACCGCCCTCTTGTGTTAAGTTATTGTCATAAACTTTCCAATTCTGCTGTTTCTTTCAGATTTTAACAGCTGTGGACACTTTTGTAGGGGAACTATCTTGTAAAAGGAGCAGAAATGCCAGCCTGCCAGAAAATGTTTTCAGGGAAGTGGAAGAAAACCTCAGACAGATAGTAGAGACATCTTTAAAAATCTACTTAAACCTGGTAATTAAATTAAATGTTTCTAAATATTATTAAACGTTGGAGTGTAACACATACACTAGTTAAGTTTGATTAGAATGAATTTACTTTCAATTTATAACCAGCACATATTATTTCTAGAAAATCTTTATAGAGTTTAGCTTCAGTTTGAAGATGATATTGATTTATATTTGTGCTTTATTGTTGAGTTCTTATTTTCATGTTTCCTAAAACATCCAGTCTTCATTCACACAAGAAAATGATCGTTATAGCATTTAATATCATCCCAATACAATTCTGTCTTATATTAGGGCACCACTGAATCTGGATCCAATGTTCTGGATATATTTGGAGTCCTGGACAGCCTGAGTCTGGCTAACTACAGTGACCCTGCGTTCATCAAACTGTGGTTCTCTGTGAAGTTGGCTCCTCTGTTGCCCTATGTCAGACAAAGCTTCCTGATCCAGCTGGGGAACCTGAACTTCAGCTGCAGTTCTTACCAGGAGCTGTAAGTCAATGAAATGAGTGCGATCAACAGCTCATATTAAGCTAGCGGTGGAAAAAAAGCTAAATTGTTCTTTGTTGTTTTTAACAGGACTTAACTATAGTAATTAAACATGTTTTTTTTTTTTACTGTTGTTTTTTTTTTTTTATCAATTTTTTTATTTTATTTTAAGCATACTGAGCATAAAAATGCAGATGTTGCTTACCTGCTAAATTGTTGAGCAAACCAAACTGTGGTTTGGAATTAAAGTAGAAATGTGTACTTTTCTAATAAGCTTGAAAAAAGGTATATAGCTGTTTAGATCACAACTTTTACAAGGAAAAATTACTGGGCCAGAAGCGTAAAAGAACAAAGGAAACAACATACAAAATAAAAGAAGTTGTAAATCGCAGTAAAAACTACCACAGGAGAGCAGTCCTTAACGATTCCTAAACATGTTTTAAGTTAAAAAACATCCAGTAAAGACTTATTGTTTCTATAAATTATTTCAGTTATATAACATGTTTAATGGCAACAAATGTGTGCTTTTAAGGGTGACCTTGTTGGGTGAGAATCCTGAGACTGTGGAGAAGAAAATAATCTACAATAACTTCATTCAACAGTTCCTGTCAAGAAAGAACTCAGCAGGTAGAACCAAAATAAATACAAAGTAAATAGATAAAAATGTATGCAGACAAGAACATCCCACAAAAAAAAATCGGTATAATCATATTTGTTAAAAATGAAGAAGACAGAAAAGCAACTATATAACCAATATTTTCATTTATTATAATTTTGTGTGAACTTTTTTTTATTTATTTTTTGTACTTTTGCAACTTTAAAGATCCTGGATGCAGAACAAATGCGAATGGAAGTGGTGAATGGCTGGAAAAAAACATCGGAACATTTTTGATCTTTGCCACACTTCAGGAGCTGAAGAATCTGAATGATGAATTTTCTGCAGTAAGTGATACAGAGCAAAAATCAAACAATGTAAAAGGCAACATATTTATTTGTAGCAATGAAGGAAAAATTGATGCAATAATAACAAACGCTTTTTCTCTCACCCCAAAGACAGAGGTAATACAAAAACTGTCACCAAAACAGAAGGCAGAGCTGATATTGGATCCAGACAGCAGTGCTTTAACGGATGCCACATTTGTGAGGGAGTTGCTCACAAACTTAACATTGTCCGGCAGTGTTGACCAACTTACAGAGTTTTTCCAGAGTTTTGCAGAAGTCAGTAAGAAGGTAAATATTAAGCAACATGTTTGTGACATTATCTAGACTGGTTGAATGAACCCAACCCAATCCCTGACGAGCAAAAATAGCAGAGTCAAAAGTATAAGGGGAGTGGTGGCGCAGAGGTTAGAGAGGTGGGCTTGTGATCCAAAGATCACCGGTTCACGCCCCGGCCCCGACAACATCAAAATTGTGGGTGGGGTAGGTGAAACACCCACACTTGCCCCCACCCTCATTTGCCATGAGCAAGGCCCTTAACCCCCACCATGTGCTCCCTAAGCAAGTCTCTCTTGAAAATGAGTTCTCAATGAGACTAACCTGTATAAATAAAGGCTAAATGAAAAAAAAAAAAAAAAAAGTTAATGTGGAAAGAGAATTTGCAGGCATCTCATTATGATTATGATTCAGAAGGCTATGAAAATTATTACTGATGCATTTCAGATCACTGACAAACTTGAAATGAAATCTCAAAATTTCTTTTTAATTACCAAAGTAACTTTTCAAACGTAGACTATTATCTAAAATGGCAAACATAAAAAATGAAATTAAAAATATGGTGCACCTATACAATATATTGTAGTGACCAATAAAATCTGTTTAACCCCATAAATGTATTTATTCATTTATATTTTCTAAGTCAAAATTTGGTATTCGGGTTTCTCATATTTTAGAAACAATAAACCTAAATGCTGCACATAAAATTGCAGTCCCCTCCCCCAACCACAAAAAAAAAACAAAAAGAAAAATCATTCTCCAGACATTTTTATAGGTTTTGCAGAAGCATTGAATAAACAAAACTGTCTATTTTCATTGTCTTGTGACTGTTTGTCTGATGGTCCTTATGTAGTCCAAGTCATTATGTATAAAGAAACCTTAAAAGAGAAAGGTATACTTCTAAATGCAGCACAGCTTTTTGTGTGTATGCTCCTTGACTGATGGGCATCACAAACAAAGAGAAAGGTTGAAAAGTTGCAGACATTTTCTACTTGCAAAGGATGCAGGATGCTTGCAAAGCAGAATATGGGTAAAGATTATTGATGAACATATGTCAAGAAAGAACGTTCTGATTAAAAAAATTCATAACAGCTAAATAAAAATTACATAAAACAACTTTATATACGAGAAAATTACATAAATGTACATCCAATCTTACCATTTTTTACAAACTGAATACACAAATACAATGAACTTAATGAAAGTTTTTGTTTCCAGAAAAACATAACTTTCATCACAAATGCAGCTGTACGAGATATCATCTTGAGCACAACTTTGACAGCTCTCGAACCTCATTTAGTCAACTTTGAACCAGAAGACTATCAGCTGTGGATCCAGGATTATCTTTTTCCATTGCTACCAAGCCTCCATCCTGATAGCTTGCGGGTGATCCCAAGTAACATCAGCTGTGCGTCCTATGAAGCTATGTAAGAGATACTTCTCAGCAAAAAATGAAGCATTTTGAGGTTTGTGTGATATTAAATTCAAGGTCCAGAAAATACAACGCTTGCTGCTTCCTTCTCTGTAGACACACCGGACTTCTGGCAAGTTTGCAGTTCCTGCCACTGGATCTTTCGGTGGATGTGAGATCAAGCGTAGAGTCCCTCAAACAGACATTCCCACGTATGTGTCAAAAATATTTGGAAGAAAAAAATCTCCTTTCAAAGTTCTCCTTTAGCCTAGTTCAACCATACTTGCAGCACTGTATTGATGCCATACTTTATTTCATGTTTTTCTCAAACAGGTTGTTCAGTACCTGATTCTTTTACGGTAAGATTGTTTCCATGAATCTAACTCATAGATGATACAAAATGTATGGAAAATTGAAAACAAACAAGTATTGCTCAATCTCTATGTAAAGATGGCAGAGCTAAAGTAATGTAGAATTACGTAGCTTTATCCACTACACTAATAATTGTTGGATTTCTTGTTTTTCTTCAGTGCAAGAAGACACCTGTCGATGGTAAGTCTAAATATTATCACCCATTCTTATTTTGCTGTAACAGTCACAATTTGACAAACTAATGACTGATGTACAAATATGTTCTTTTACCAGAGAGCCACATCTGTGCTGCAGTCAATGGGTGAGTGGTTTACTGATTAATCCCGTGCACAGTTTCCAAGCTCTTTTACACAGCATAATTAACGGGAAACTCTGCTTTCCTTTGTGTTTGGCTCAGATCACAACTCCAGCAAACACTGGCAACTGACGCGTCGTCCAC